CTATATAAACTCGAGAGCTTTCCTTAGTATTATTGTCTACTAATATAAAAGACTTAAGCTGAAGTGACTAAAAGGAAGATTGGCCTGGCAGTACATTAAAGATGGATTGGAGCAGGGAAGGACCAGCTGGGCAGGAAAGATAGGAGGGAATGAACTGAAGAGAAAATTTTAAAAACACTCACTTCATTAGAAATTGGTAACTAAATGGATGTAGTGTACATAGAAGAAATCATGCTGGTAGGAAGTAATTGATGGAGATACTGAGTTCTAGTCTAGATCTACTGAATTTCAGAAACTGAAAGCACATCCAAGTGGAATACGTTGTAAGCAACCAAAATGTTTAGGTCTGGTGTTCAGGTACAAGGTCAGACCCGCAGGGATGAACACTAAAGGATTTGGAGGTAGCAAATGAGTCGTGTTCTCAAGTTCTCGAAGCTCTGTGGATAGAGGAAGAATGAGCCAAGGCTTAAGCTGTAGAGGTGGGAGGCAGAAAAGAAGTTATTACAGGAGACATCAATAGAGTTGTCCTGCAGGCAAGAGAAGAATAAAGAGGAGAAAGTTGATCAGCAATCAAGGAAGAAGCACGTGTCCGGGAAGAGGCATGATCAACAGTATGAGATGAAACCAAGAGAAAGACAACTGTATAAACATCAGTAACGTGGCCAAGGATGGCCTGGTGATCTTGGAAGGAATAGAGTTAGTGCAATTGTTGGGGGATGAAGCCAGTTTTAGGAGACTCGGGAGACAATGGGAAATGAGGAGTGCAGAGGGGCAGGGACTCCGTGTCACGTGACCGAGGAATATGAAAAGCGAGGTCAGGTCTGGAGGCCACCTGCCTGCATCCCGAGAGTCACCACTTATCTTCCACTATGAAAAAGCTATTGCTAAGGAACCGAGGCAGTAAGTACGCCTCTCCTCTTTTACCTATTTTACAGGTGAAATGCAGAGATCAAGATTTTCATTCAGGAACCTTTGGTGGGATCCTTAATGAACCACTGGCTGATTTGGTTGCTCTTCTAGGTAATGCTTTATTTCATGTCACTTTGTAAGCATCACATGATTTACTAGGGTACAGTTGTATTGGAGCCTGTGTGTCTCTCCTCCTCTGGTTTCTGAACCAGCTCTGAATAAGGTAATTGAAGAAAGACCATATTCCCAGCTTTTCCTCCCCTGGATAAATGTTCCCTAGGCCTATAATTAAGTCCGTGTTACTTCTTTTCATGGACTGAAATTCTTCTTTGATTCACCCCCTTTTCTTTTACTGGATATTGTGACACATCTGGCCAAACTCACAGAAAAGAGGGTAGAGACCCAAAGGATTCAAAAGAAGGAGGGACTATCCCTGACTCTCTTCCTGCTGCTTCTAGAACGTGGGGTGAGGTGGGGGAGGGGTGGCATTCCCAAGCAAGCTGAACCACAAGTTCAACTTCAGTAGACCTGGCAGGACTTTTTGACTGAAGATAAATCAACAAAGTGATGACCGAAGGGGAAAGGAACCAAGGGTCATAGTGAGTGGGACACTTCACACACTCCCCCAAGAAACCTGCATCGCGCTGCAGTTGGAGCCCTGCAGCAGCTGAGCCCTGGGCTCATGGGGCGAGCTTCCCAGCACGTGGGTTCAGAGACTGTGACCAGCATGTGTCCTTGCACTGCCACAGACTAGCTGCGTGACGATAGCAAGTTACATATGTTCACTAGTCCTCCGTCTTCTCACTTGTAAACGGGGCATGATCACATATTTACCTAGTAAGAATTGTTTTGTGGATCCAGTAAGATGATGGATGCGGGTCACTTACCACAGTGGCTGGAACACAGTGTGTCCTTCCACAGCTAACAGTCTGTCCTGGCCTGAGAAGCACTTATCTTATCAAGGACTCCAGAGATGGAGCCAAACGTCAGTGCCGCTTGGCTTCATTTTTCTTTCTCTTTCTTTCTTTCTTTCTTTTTTTTTTTTTCAGGCAATAAAGATGACATTTAATTGTTATTTACATGACAAATCATTTAGTAAACAATCATACTTGAATAATTCTAAGTGTTGCCAAGTCCTATTCCATAGGACTTAGCATTAATCTTAATGTCCACATAACAGGAAACAGAACAGTTATCCACTGTCACAAATTCTCCACCCATTTCCCAGGTTCCAGGGTGCCACCATATCCTCCCCACGGCTCCCACAGTCAGTGCTGGTCACAGCATGACAGAGGCTGCAGTCCAGCAACCTGGGGCCTCTGGGAGCAGCAGAGGCAGGATCCCGAGCTCAGTGGCCATAGTAAAGAAACTGGCTTCATTTTTCAATGTTGCTGTGACTCCAAGTGGCAGAGAGACTCCAGTGAGTTTGCTGCTTGTGCCCAACATCAAATCATTGCCCTTGACCTCCTGAGCATTGCCTGGGGTACCCAAGTGGAAGTTCTTTGTCTTTCTCTGAGAGGCTGGTTTGCCCAGGCTTGATTCACCTGGGCTGCCCAGGGTGGATGCCCTGGAGAGCCAAATAAGCTTAAACCTCAGGGGCCTTGCCTGCGGGAGCCCCTATCACCATACTGGCAGGGACACTTGCAATTTTATGTTTGTAATTGGTGATCTTTTTTTAAAAAAGGTTCACAGATTACATAAGCTTCAGACACCACGGTACCTTGATCTGCCCCGCCAGGCACATATGGCTCATTTATGCAAATTTTACAATGTGCCCCTTTTGCACAGATAAGTTGCCAAAAAGCTTGCACCCCCTTGGCTGTGGCCATCCTGAACAGGGTGCAATCAGCCCATGTGGCCAAGTTATTGGGGGGTCTCCTCAAGGTTTTCAGCATTATCTTTAGCTGTAGAGTTTTTTCCTTCCTCACTGTCCCAAATTAAATAATGAAATCTATCTGTATTTCTATCATCTATTTATCTATTCCTCTATCTATCTATTCTTCTATGGCCTTCTAGTTTCCTAGAATATAACTATTGGGTATTTCCCATGCTTGACAATATCAGACAGAATACAACAAGCTCTTTCCTTTTAAAGAGTTTAAGTGGTTTCTTGAAGAATTCAGATAGTATGCAACTTAAAGTTTTTCAGGAAAAAAGTATTAATTTTCTATTTTACCAGAACTAGTTTTCTCTTCCCTGGGAACTGCATCATCACATCTCTAGCAGTACAATTTTATTCCCACCCCTCCCCTCCCTGCTGCATGGTTGCTGCATGACATCTTTTTAGACTGTAGGCTTTGGCCAGGCATAGAATTCCATCCAGACCCACAAGTGCAGTTTTCTCTGCTAAGGAGTCAGATCAGGATAACAAATGGAATGAGAAACACATGGTTATACTTTCTTCAGTTTTTGATACAAATCAAATAATCCATAACAAAGTGATTTCTGGATTGTGCCATTTATGTGGTTTGTATATGCTTTGTACAAAAACATAAGGACCTAGGGTTCAGCTTCAGCATTTTCAGATGGCAAGCAGGAATTTTGCTTGCTGTCATGCTAGGCTGTTGTGGAGAACTTCCCCCCTGCCCCCACCTCCTCTCCCAGTATCCTGACCCCACTCCCTCACCCGGGGCTACCACAGATCACAATGTTAAGGGAGAGCTGGTTGGGTCTTTCCTCCCCTGCAGGCTGGCAGGTGACAGTAGTCAGGAGTCCCTAACCTCTCTGTCCTTCAAAGTCCTCATCAATATGATCCTGAGGACTATCAAGATTACTAACAGGTAATAAATGTTTATTGAGTGCCAACTGTATAAAACGTGTGACATTCTCCACTGGGGGACATAAAGTGAAATCAGGTAAGTTCCCTGTCTTTGAAGAGGCTTACAACTAAGTGTGCTGGGGAGGCAGGAGATGGGTAGGGGGAGATTCATGTTTGCATGTAGAGATCTAACCTCGCATGGTTTTCCTTTTACAGACATTTTCCTATACCCTACATTTTCCTAAAAGCCATAAAAATGAAAAGACCACTGAACCCAGGGTGTTTTTATAAGCACCAAATATCCAATAATATTTTAAAAATTATTTAATTAATTTTTTTCCTAATATAAATACATCTATTTTAGATTGGCTTCTACTAAACAGACAAGGAATATAAACATATAATGAAAATTAAAAAATGTTAGAGATACAGGTGGAAATTCAAAGATAATTTGTCATTTTAGAAGGCTAAATTACTTTCGAATTCTTTTTTTCACTTTTATCTTTTTACAGTGCTTAGAGGAAAATTTATACTTGTAAACACCTATATTAAAAATAAGAAAAATATCAAATCAGTAATGTAAATGTCTACCTTAAGAAAATAGAAAAGGTAGTACAAACTCAACCAAAAGCAAGTATAAGTAGGAAATAACAAAAATTACAACAGAAATACATGAAACAGGGAATTAAAAAACAAAAGATAAAATCAACAAAACCAAATTTGATTCTTTAAAAAGATCAGCAAAATTTGCAAACTTTATCTAGACTGACCAAGAAAAAAGAGAGAAGACCAGAATTACTAAAATTGGAAATAAAGTAGGGGCATTATTACATTGTCATTATGGCTTTTTGTGGTGGTAAGATTTAGTTTCTTCCTCTTTCTTGTGTGCATTTTTGTTCTAGAAGGGGGTTTTGTTCTTTCTTGTGTATTCTTGGTAGTGATTATCATTTTTCAGATTCCAGGTGCAGGACGTCCCTGAGGATTTCTTCCTCGAGGGATAGTTGTGTGGTGGTGAATTCCTGCAGCTTTTGTTTTTCTAAAAAATACACTATTTTCCCCCCATTTCTGTAGGATAGCCTTGCTGGGTATAGTATTTTTGGCTGGCAGTTTTTTTCTTTTAGTATTTTGAATATATCACCCCATTTTCTTGTGGCCTGTAGAGTTTCTGTTGGGAAGCCTGCTGCTAGTCTGATAGGGGCTCTCTTATAGATGACGTGATGCTTTCCTCTTACTTCTTTTAAGATTCTCTCTTTGTCTTTGAGTTTTGCCAGTTTGACTATAATGTGTCTCGGAGAGGATCTTTTTGTGTTGACTCTGTTTGAGGATATTTGAGCCTCCTGGATCTGAAGGTCTGTGTTTCTCCTCATACCTGGAAGTTTTCCATTATTTCGTTGAATAGGTTTTCCATACCTTTTCCATTCTCCTTCCCTTCTGGAAAACCCATGATTCAAATGTTTGTGCACATAAGGTTGTTTGCTAGTTCTCGTAGATTTTCTTCATTTTTTAAAATTCTATTTTCCCTTTTTTTTGTTCACCTGGGTTATTTTGAAAACGTTATCTTTGAGATCAGAAATTCTTTTGTCTGCTTGTTCTAGCCTGCTGCTTAAGCTATCAGTTGTGTTTTTTATTTCATTGATTGAATCTTTCAGTTCTATGAGTTCTGCTACATTCTTTTTAAGGTATTAATCAATTTGTAAACTTCCTCCTTCATATCCTGTATTTTTTTCTTATTTCTTTATGTCATCTAACTGAATCTTCTCGTATCTCATGAGTTTCCTTAAGATTTTTGCTTGGAATTCCTTTTCAGTCATTTCAAGGGTTCCTGCTCTATGGGGTCTGGTGTTTGAGAATTACTGAATTCTTTGGTGGTGTCATATTTTCTTGGGTTTTTGTATTTCTGGTGTCTCTGCATTAATGTCTGGTTATCTAATAGAGCAGTTGCTTCTTCTATTACTCTGGAGTGGGCTTTGAGGACAAAGATGTCCTCTTTTTTTCCCATTCTCCACTGGTGACTCTCCTTGTGTCACTGTAGTTGAATGTCTGGCGACCTGCCTGCATGTTGGCTGTGACTGCTGCCGTGGCATCAGGCCACTCTTTTGGCAGCCATGGCTGTGGCAGTGGCTGCAGTGGGCCACCTGCACTGAATTGGTGTTTTCAGCATTCTCTCTTGCCTGCTTCCAGGTGGAAGGGGCTGCAGTCCTCCCCAGTGTTATTTAAAATGTTAAAATTCCAAGGTGATCCTGGGATCAAGGATGATGTCTCTTGTGGGCACTTTTCAAAGGTGGCACCCTCTTCCTCCTATGCATTTCCCCCAGACAGACAGCTGGGGTGGCTGCAGAAATGACATCACACTCCATTCAGAGGATCATGGTTTCAAGTGGAAAATGAGCAGGGGGAGGGGATAAACTCTCAAGCATCCTATTTTCATGTGAATGTCCTCAGTGTTAAAGAACTAGGGCAAAGAAATCTGGAAAATAGAATATGTAAGGCAGAATTATTTCTGAACAGCACAGGCAACATTTCCCATTCTGTTCCTGGCACTATGCTTCAGCTGGGCAGAAGTGACCCAGCAGCGCTCCAAAACTCTCTCTGTGAGTGAATTAAAAGGGGAAGGAAAATGAGGAAATCCTATTTCTTTCCCATCGAGACGTGTGTCCACCAGTACTTCTCCCAAGCCAATGGTAAGGAAGGCTGCCTTGTCTCCTGGGAAAACGGCCTCATGATTTAAAATGATGCCAAGAAAGCCAGTCCCACTGAAGTCACAGCCTAACTGGCTAAGGATGTCTGGATTGCCCCCACCCCTACCACTGACAAGGTCCAGCAACACCAGGTAAAATGGCAGGGAAGATGTCATGTTCAACTTCATAATCTAAACATGAGCATCCTGGGGACTCTGTTCAAATCTGTTTGTCACAAACACTGAATGTTTTGCCGAGCTACATACAAATTCTGAGCAGGAGGGCTGGGCCTGCTGCGCCCTACCTGGCTGCTGGCTGCTCCTCAGGGTCCCGTGCTCAGTCCTCCCTAGTCACCCGCACACACTGCTTGACACCATGGCTCTCCAGCCATGGCACGAGCACTTCTTCCTGTTCCTCATTGCAGCTCTGTCCTTACATAGAAGACTGTCAGCAGAAGTATGATTTTGTTTTGATTTTGGTGAGGGTGAGAGAGGGTGGGCTGCAGACTCGGGACAGCCAGTCCTAATCATTCAGTGCCAACTTGTTTTTAGACTTGACTCAAACTAATGGGTTTGTATCTTTTATTTAATATACAATACTCTCATATTTCACTGGTCTAAATGGGGGATCCTACAACTCAGGACTCACATGCACAATGATCTGCAACATCATCCCCACGGTGTGGTGACAGAAGGAATGGAAGTCTGGGAGAAATGCCCTGGGGACCAGGAGGGGGTGCTGAAGGAGGAGCTCATTGACAGTGATGCCTGCTGTCACATTCTGCTGCCTTGACATGCTGGAGCCTGGCAGGTTTGCCTCCTCTGGTCATTCTCAAAGTGCTGGGAATCCCATTACATATTGCACTACTGCTGTCACTGGAGATTTTGGTGGCATGTTTACACAGAGACAAACAACCTGTTGATCTGCTCCTGTGACATCATGTGTGTCACCACTTTGTAGCAGGAGACAGTGCACTTGTTTTTGGAAGGTGGGTCTGGTGTGTCTTCACATCCCAGCATTAACCCAGTGCCCAGAACACAGGAGTGTCCAATAATGAGGTGGTGAATGCATTGCTGGTCTAGAGTCTTCAACTCTGTGCTTTGTAATTGTTGACATTAACCTTAAGATTTGAAAACATAGTGCTTCACAGTAAGTGGCCTGACATTGTCAAATTATTCTCATGGTAAGAATATGGACCATATATTTATGAAGCGGCTTTACTTGAATAAAAGTCCCTAAATGGATTGAGGATTAAGTTAGCTTCCCTGGAGATATTTTTGTGTCATTTATATCAGTCTACTGGTTGCATTTTATCTTTGGTAAGTACGGCTTTACTTGAATAAAAGTCCCTAAATGGATTGAGGATTAAGTTAGCTGCCCTGGAGATATTTTTGTGTCATTTATATCAGTCTACTGGTTGCATTTTATCTTTGGTAAGTATTTTCTCCAGATAGTGAGCAGTGTTTGCCAAATCTCAACATCTGCTTTTTTCGTAGATATTTGTTGATAACTTTTTCTTTTCTTTCTGATCCCAAAACTCTTTCATAAAGAGCAGACTGGTGTATATGCTTATTGCCTATAAAGAATTTTGTGGTCATAACGTATATTCTAGACTAGACCTCAAGGATATTATGATTAAAAAGGAGTATTTATTAGATTATTATGGTGTGTTTGTGTGTAGGGGGAAAGAAGTTGAAAAGGAATGATGGAAATTTTTAATTTCTCAGGTATATATACACACACACATATACAGATATTTTAAATTTTTTATAGTGAATACATATTACCTTTTAACTCAGGAATAAGATAAAACTAAAAAGCAAACCTTGTTTATGATGCAAAAAGTATAGTTGAGAACTTGAAACATGATGCAGATAAGATGCTGATTTAATTTATTGCAGATCCATGTGTTTTCAGCCCTACTCTTGATGAGGAAGATGTTAAGGTGGGTTGGAGTCAGGCAGAATCTACCTGGTGACCAGCTCTTTTCTCTGACGATCACCTCTTGGATGTACTTGCTGCCTGTGGCTCTGGCCACAGGGACCAGGGACAGTCATGAGACCCACTGCAGCCCAGGAGAGTCCTCCCGTGGCTCAGCTCCAGGGCTACAATGTCAGCACACTCGTGATTTCTACCTGGCCTTGTTTTCTATGTGTGTCTTGTAGGTAGCCTGGTAGGTTCGTCCTGAAATCTATGAGCAGGTGGCTCCTCTTACAGAAGAGGAGGAAAAAATGTACAAAGCCATCGATCTGGACCTGGAAGAATACCGGAATAGTAGCCAGGTTGAGAAATTTCTGTTTGATAGCAAGGTATGGCCACGAATTGATGGATAATCTGAAAGAGGAATGATGATAATCAATCATATTTTCCCAATGTGTAATTTATTGGCTGGTGTTAATCTGAGCATCTTAGAATACAAAGCAGGTGTTGATTCCTGTGCAGATTTTGACTTTCACAGCCACTTTTCCATGGTCTAGATCAACCAGTCCTTTTTATAGGGTCCAGTTAGCACTGGCTTCTGGCACCTAACTATAAGCAGTTACTCATCTCACAACCATTCTTTTCCAAAGCAGTATGTTATCTTAAATCCTACACCAGCCTTCAGCCAGTGAGCTGGTTTTCTTAACTGTTCAAAGATTAAGAAGAGTCTGAGATTATCCCAGCTCCAAGACTTTTAATTATCCATTTTTCCAAATAAAACAACAAGCTTTAGAGGTGAATCTGTAAGTTAATAAAACCCGAAGCCAAAAGCATTCATTGCTGGCAACTTTAGATTTTTTTTTTCTTTTTTCCTCCTCCTCCTTTTTAAAATGCTTGCCTGCTAAGGTGTGTGGTAGCTATTGCTGATTCTTGGGGGAGCTGCCAAGAGAGGGAAAAATTACGCTGGGAAGAAGAGGTAGAGTGTATTTTTACGATGTCTCTTCTCTCAGACTAGCTCTATGATGGCAACAGCAAGAAAGAGAACTGCTCACACAGCTGAAGAATTCTTTGAAGTTCTTTGAAGCCTGGAAAATAAAATGCACTTAGCACACAAGTTGTCATTGAGACAATGGGGGATAGAAATTTATGATTGAGCCCAAATTTCTTAAAGAGCCCCTTTGCTATTAACTGCAGGCGACAGAGATCGGGCAAAGAGGGGCACCCATCAGTCGGGAGTGGCTTGGGCAGGTGAAGGCAGCAGGGCACGGGGAGAAGGCTCCTGCTCTGAGACGCAAGCACACCTTGTACTATGGTTCAGACATTTCTCAGGTGATAATGAATTTGTCACTAATGGTGTCTCAGGTGTATAGAAGTTGGTGATACAAGCAATGCAATGAGTTTTAATTAAACATTCTTTGGACACTTTTCATTTAGGAGGAACGGCGATGCACCTGTGGAGGTACCCATGTCTTTCCATTCATGGGATTGAGGGCACATTTGATGCGCCTGGAGCTAAAACTGTCATACCTGGCTGAGTGACAGGAAAGTTTTCAATCCGTCTAGTCCCTCACATGAACACGTCCATGGTGGAAAAACAGGTAAGTCATGTTCGTTGTCACCTGCCCAGCAGCACCGTTCCTGAGCACCACATGTTGCAGTTCAGTGAGCAGTTCAGTTTTCACCACTGAAGTATCATTGTTCCCAACACAAAAGGGTTGGAACGAATGTCAAGAAGCCAATAACATTTCGTTCAGTAAATATCTCTTTCCTCAGTTACATGCAATTACAGAAGTCAGACAAATAACCATCAGGAGTTGGAGTGGTGAAAAATTTTTAAAAATTAGATGGTAGGCATGAAGGGAAGATTGATTTCACACACAGATGGTGCAGGCGGCCTCCTGTGCCTGGACAGAGCTGGGAAATCTCGGACCCCGATCATTCGGTGTTTCATGATGTCTGAAATCAGCATGTTGAAAGCAGCCATTTTAATGAAAATGTTGTCTGGAAGGAGTTATACATCTAAATTACCAAACTATCATCAATTTACCTCAAGTTAGTTTAACAGAAAGTAGAGTCTTGAATAAGTGAGCTAAAGAAATACCTCATCCCGGCCCTCAGCCGCTCCATTCCATTGTCTTCTTTTGTTAATTACATTCCACACTAGTGTCCCTCCCCCTTCCTGCTCTCCCTGCCCGCTGCCTCCCTTCCTCTCTCTTTCTACTCTTTCTCTCTTCTTCCTTCCTCCTTCTCTTTCCTTCCTCCCTCCTTCCTTCCCTCTTTTCTGGACGTATTATGCCTCTTTCTTACAACGTGTAAATTCCACGAAGGCAGGACCTTCTTTGATTTGTTCACGGCTACATCTGCAGCACGTAGAACAGTCCCTGGCACATGACAGATGTTCAGTAAATGTTTGTTGAAGGAATGAATAGAAGAAATATTTCTGAGTATAGGGTTTTTCCCAGGAGGATTTCATAGCAGCGATTGAAAAAGAGCAAGAGGAAGGGAGGGATGCTGAAAAGAGTCTCCTTTACAGTTTAGTCTGGAATTACTCCCACTTTTTAGAAATTTCCCAAATGCTTACTGTTCCCAGAATATTAATTAGGGTATTGAAAGTCCAAAAAGTGGGATATTCAAATGAAGACTGCTTAATTTCATGCTTGTATTATGTTTTATAATTTTCAATGAACAACATTACTCAGACTCCTCTCTGAGTCAGATGCTGGTGAGAACTGCTTGGAGGACAGGACTGGGGGTTGTAGGGTACAGGGACAGAAGGCAAGCCAGAGCAAGTGCTCCTCCTGCTGGGGGACCCCAGGGCTTCCTGCTCCCAGCCCTAAAGAAGATCTCTCTCTGTGCCATGCCCTCTGGCAAAACTAAGGTAAATCACAACACTCAAATTTGTTACAGTGGGAATTAAATCAATTTCTCCATGAAAGACTGTATTAGCGAGTGACTTGAAATTCTCTCTTACTATTGAAAATGTCACCTTTTAGGTGACCCAGCATCTTGAAGATGTATTCTCTGAAAGAAATAGTTCCAACCAGATGACTGTTTCTATGGCACTAGGACTACAGCCGTGGATCACAAATATTAATGATACTCACTATCTTGCAGCAAAAAGAGCGATCAGAACAGGTGGGACCTTAAGATATTTTGATTGGCCAGTTTACACTGGGCCCAAGGGTGGCACTGGTGGGACAGTGGATAAAGCAGTTACTTTTAAAACTCAAATATTGGCCCTCTTTTCTATAAAGGGTGTGTTACTGAACACACAGTATGTGCAGGGTTACCTCATGTAATCCTCCACTTTGCAGAGGAAGAGATTAAGGCTTAAAGAGACAGAGTAATTTGCTGAAGGGAACCCAGGTAATCAGTGGCAAAGCCAGGGTTCAAATTCAAGTCTGGAGACCTGAATTTTGGGGAAAATGATAAACTAGAAAACCTCTAGACCCTCCTGAGGCAAAACTCATGGACACGTCAGCCAACATACAAAAACATCCTCTCAAAAATACAGCTTAACTTGTATGGAAATAAGGGAAATGCTTTGGGGTTACAAATGGAAAAGCTGAAATCTAGTGGAGGGAACAAGTAGACCCTGGGCTGCCTGCGGGGACATGCTCTTCCGGGTCACAAAGAATCCGGGCCTCGGCCCAGCATGGAGTAGGGAATTGAACATTAGACCCACGACACAAAGGCAGGGTATTCCGTGTGCACACGTGTGTGTGTAGGTAAATGTAAGCTTGCCCATCTTTGCTTGGGATTTGGATGAACACAGGTCCCCTGAGAATTTTTGACCACGGATGGACCCATCCTCACACGGGTTTGGGTCTTTAACTCCGCTTTGTGTGTGGTCCAGTTCTTCCCAGTCCCGGGCTGGACTGCCAGGCTGATGCAGACTCCGGAGTGCCCTGCAGGACACAGCCCCAAGTCAGGCTGCGGGAGACTTTCACAGAAAGGCCCCTGGAGATGAGCTTGCCATGTACAATTACAAAACACAGGAGAAACCCAGTTCCATCTGTCCGACAGTGCAGCCAGTGATCTTTGCACGATGCATGTTGCTCTCCAGAAGGCAGCGTTGCTTTGCTCGCAACTCTCTCAGTGGCGCCTATTTTCCTCCCTGCACTTCCAAGTGCTGGGCAGGTTCCTGTGGTAGGAAGAGCAGCAGGCACAGGCTGGGGCACTGGTGGGGGAAGGGAGAAAGGAGGTCTAGTCTCTTTGGTTTCTGCAGCAGGAGGGGGACTCTGACAACAACAGCAAAATGGAAGCCCCTCCAGAAGCAGGGGGACATTTCAGTCTCCCAAAAAACTAGGTGGGAAAATACTGACGTGTGTTTATATGGATCTACAACATTAGATGACAGCTGAGGCCGGGGGCCACACTGCTAATAGTGTCAGAGCTGGAACTGGAAGCCTAGACCTCCTTGAAGTGTGACTCATTACCAGGTCTATCAGTACAAAGGACGCAGACATGAAAAATTAGAGAACAAGCCCAAGACTCAGAGCCATGCTTTTCTACATCGTCATTCCCAGTGCCCCCAAGTGTGTTTATATGGATCTACAACATTAGATGACAGCTGAGGCCGGGGGCCACACTGCTAATAGTGTTAGAGCTGGAACTGGAAGCCTAGACCTCCTTGAAGTGTGACTCATTACCAGGTCTATCAGTACAAAGGACGCAGACATGAAAAACTAGAGAACAAGCCCAAGACTCAGAGCCATGCTTTTCTACATCGTCATTCCCAGTGCCCCCAATTTTAGCAGGTATTTTGCCAGTAAAATTTTGGAGTAAAGAAGAGAGGAAGAGGAGTTGGGAAGGAGGGTTGTATGTTTGAAATGTCAAGGTTAACAACGATAAAGGAGTCTGAAATGCTCTTGCAGGAATGCATCAGACACACTTCAGTCTATTTGTGAGCTAACCCAGCTCTTCTTCCAAGACACTTCACCTTATTAACATTCACGCCCTGCTTGTGAACTAAGAAGAGGTGAAATGTCCTCCTCCATTTCTTTTATTGTCCACTCCCACCCCATCACTGGCAAGTTGTCCTCTAAGCTAGAAGGTTTGAAGACATCTCCTCTGGAACCTGGATAGCAGTTAAAACTGTTTTATGGGATATCTTGAAAGTTGGGAGAAACATTGAACATTCAGGTGATAATCGAATACAGCTGTTTACCTGCATGTGTGTTACCAGGAACCCCCCAAAAATTCCACTTCTACAGTATTTAATTCATGCAGGAACCATAAAAGTAGGCACAGTGTCTTGGGTCTTGCCAAAGTGCATGACCTCTTCCAATCCGATAAAACATCAGACAAACCCAATCAAGGAACATTTTACAAAAGAGCTGATCAGTACTATTCAAGGGGGTCGAAGTCATGACAGACAAAGAAATACTGAGAAACTGAAACAGACTAGAAAAGTCTCAAGAGAAGCAGTAATAACGTGCAGTGTGGGATTCTGGATTGGATCCAGGAATGGAAAAAGGGAAAGACTGGAGAATTTCAAATGAGTTATGGAGTGTAGTTAATACTATTGTACCAATGTTAATTTCCTATTCTTGATCATTATACAACAGTTATATAAGATTTTAACATTAGAGGGCCGGCCCGGTGGCGCACTGCTACAGTGC